CATGTTCCCCACCTGCACACTATCGGCCATCACCTGATCACCTATCACCTGCATGTCATCAATCACCATGGACACTAATGTTCTTCACAGCTGTCTGTCATTGTCTCGTCATCATCTGTGTATTTAAGTTCCTGCTTGTCTTCAGTTCAGTGTCAGGTATTGTTTGTGTTGCACGTGGTCTCGCATGTTGGTTGTATTCTGAGTTGCTCATTAAACAAACTTGTTATTTTCAATGATCGCGTCTTCCTTGGATCTAATCGTGACACTGTGAGAATGGATGCAATTTTGTGTGATGCAGCAGCAGCAATGTCATGCTGTTTCCTAAGGCACGCTGACCCTTTGCAGACATTCTGCACATTTCACACCTCCAAAAACTACAGATGCATTGTTTGTATCCCCAACAAACACTGCAGAATTCATAGAAAATGAGTTAGGAATGTGTCTCTTGTTTGACAACTTGATTAAAAAATGCCTTGAGACAATAGCATGCGATTTACTTTGCTCAATCATCCTTAAGCTCTCTGGGAAAAGGTGGTTTGAGAAAGATGTTTGTTCATGTGCAAGCCATTTTAAGTTAAATAAACAGCAAGGTTTTGTGTCTTTACCATATGGAAAAAAGCAGGTTGGTCATTACAGTCTTCACATACTGAATGTAATGCAGTTTTTTTTTACACTACCTGGAGCAGGAAAATGACTGGTTTGTTTCAGAATGATGATTACAATAAAAAGTGGATTATTTCAATGTTTGTTACTTTTTTCATACTCACTTGAGGAAAGAATCTCTCTCGTTGATTTCTCTGTTGTTCCTAATGATCCGCTGCAGATGCAGTGTATAGTGCCTCTTGCAGAGAAACTGACTGAAATGAGGCATGATATTGAATTTCAATTCAAACTCTTTTATTTGCAGCATAAACTATCTCATGCCACTCATCTTTCATTCATAAAGTAACATTCAGTATTAATAACAAAGGTGAAAGCCTTTTCCACCTTTGTGTTGGTCTAAATCGATTTCAGAACATTTCAGCTCAATGAGCCACGACTCAGTCTGTGGTTGTGTGTCAGAGGCTGTTTCAATATGACTTCACTGGCTGCATAAATGCATTCATAATTTTATAGGTCAGCGGTATCAGGTTATGTTTTAGTGACCCTGGATTTCCCCTTGACAACCACATGACTCCCTCAGAATGCAACAATTGTCCTTCACCTTTTATTTTGATAGATTGCCTATAAGGCCATTCAAATATTGATATACGACATTATTTCTCTCAAGAATTGACAAAAGCTGTTTGAAATATTGGCAGTAAGAATCCTTGGTGAGTGGAGCCGTCATCTTTCGGCAGATTTCTTTTCTGTCTCCGTTTTCAGAAGAGTCTCTCACATGAAATTGCTAGTGCAGATTCTGCCTCTTTCCTCTTTTTCTTGATCTAAAAGACCATCTTCATTTGTTGTGGGTTTGTTGGGACCACGGCTGCAGAAAGAAATCACATTGCCACTATATCTCATTATTTTTATTTTCATGTTTTGTGAAGGAACGTGACAAGCTAATCACATTTAATAAAAGTATATTAGGATTCTGTTTCTGTTTCTTGCACTATATTTCCTTACTCTGGTCTGCGACCTCTATCTTCATGAGCCTGTCTATGATTCATGTGGCATTTTAACTTCTCATTATTCACCTGTCTCTTCTCTTTTCTATCCTTATTCATTTCATCATGCTGTTCCTGCATGTCCAAGCGCTCTGTGCATGAGAGCTGGGCCTGGAAATTGTACAAGCTAATTAGAAGCACTATAGATTGCAGTGTACTGTTGCACTAATGACAGATCAGAACTGAAATGACATCTTTGTTTCAGTAAGATCATAACATTTTCATAAAATCTTTCTTAGAACAAGTGTTCGTTTCTTTGTATAACAAGCAGATGTTTAACGTCTTGAAATGTAGGCTTAACGTCTAACCATGGCACAGTTGCTCAAACACACATTTATATAAATTCCATAGACTTTTTATATGCAGCTAATTGTAAATACTATGACCTTAATCAGCATCTTTCTGCATTTTTACATAACTTCATTTACTTTATTTTTATATTGTTTTTACAAATGCGGACAAATTTGGGATGTTTTGTCCGATTTTGCTCTCAAATGTGGTTACACATGCAGTCACATACACAAACTAACTAATTTTCTAAAGAATAAAATGTGAAAAAGGAATTTGGTTAATAACTCTATGTAATATGAATATAATTACATATCTATATATTATATGTATTATATAAATATAATTACTATGATAATTAATAATCCTCAGTACCTCTGTAATTTCTTGGCTATTTAAATTGGTTGGTTGACTAAATGTCTTTATCATATCTTTAACAAATAAATTCTTATCAAATCAACTTCAAAGGCTTTTTATGCAGAAAGTTATCAATTAGTAACATTAAAACTATTAATTTACTATCTTTTCACTTAAATTTAGCCATCAATTTGGTTTCTGAAGGAGACATTTTCTTTTAAATCAATAATTTTAAGAATAGCCAAGAGGTAACAGCATGATTAAAGTCAGCAAACGACAAAACATTAATCCTATAGCTGAAACTGCACAATTTATTCATGTTTCAATGCATTCTAGGAACTTCCTTAACAAATCGGCAACATTGAAGATGAAATAGTCCACTCAGACAGCTCTGTTAGGCTAGTTTGGGAGTATATTGTTGGTCTGACATGTTTAAATGAAGATTCACAGATTCTTTTAGAGCCTGTGAGAAGCTATGCTGGATAAATTGTAATTGCTTTTATTTACTGCGCACTGTCATGTCTACTCACAGCTGTGTCTTCTGGCCTGTATTGGGGTTTTTAGGGGTCTCTGTGGGTCAGGCCGGATTGAGGTTGCAGTATGACTCAAAGGCTTTGTTCTGACTAGATGAAACACTTCCCGAGCCAGGTGATGCTCAGAGCTGTATCTTTTTTATCAATATTTTTTTCTCTCTCTTTTCAATTTGTTTTGAAGAGCTTTTGTATACTCTAACAAGACTGAAGAATTTCAAGAACAAGACTGAGTGAAAGCAGGATGACAGTGAAAAGCAAAGAAACAGAAATTGCTTCATCTCTGCACAGCGTCACTCTCTGTGACATAAAAAACAAGTTGCCGAGAAATTGCTCAAAATTAGGAAATATTACAATGAGTCTTTCATTGTTCTCTGTGCATTCTCTAATGCAAAAGTCAGGTTATATTATATATAAGAGTTAAGGCATAAAATAAACAAAACACATTTTTTTATATAATAAAACATGTTATTGACCGTACTGATAATAAAGAGACAGACAGTGGCATAAATAAATATTCATCATTATAGATGAAAGATTTTATGATTAATGCTGATGTTGTTTTTTCATTATTTTTATTTTATTTCTCAGCTGCCTATACATTTCATGATCATACTCTCCTTGCTTGATCAAGGAGGCTGTGCTGAATAGACCAACTCTGCAAAAATATAAACTTAATAACCCCATGCAAATTTGCAATGTTTATACAACATGATCAGTTTTAGAACAGAATCTATGGATGAGATTTCCACTGCTACTGTCTTAATGCCCAGATTCCTGTTTGTGGTATTCTGCATTTTACCATGAGAAACCATGCCTATTCATCACACAATGCAATCCAGCACGAAGTAGGTTAGAAACAGGGAGGAGATGAGACATAAATCATTCTACTCTTGAAGGAATGACCTGGTTGTCCTGTTAACAATCACATTCAACCAGTAAAAAATATCTTATTACATGACCTCAAAATATATTGCCTCTAAATGCACTTAATGAATACAAATGATTCCAAGTGATTAAAATGATATTCAACGGAAAAAAAAATGCAAAGGTGTTTTATGCACCTTTAAGGTCAGAATCAGTAACCTTAACTTATGTCAACTCTATTAGGCATTTCAGATCAATGTGTCTTAAGATCTGTGTGTGATCATTAACCCTAAAGAGGATTAGACATTTGACCAAATTAATGTTTCTCATGCTTTCTAATGCTTGAAATAATTTTGTAGATACAATTAAGCATTTGGACCGGGGAGTGAAGGAAAAGCAAACAAGAAGTCTCCATCATGGATCTCAATTCAGGAGGCTATTAAAAGCAGTCCAGGTGGCACCTCATGAAGTTAGCCGAGAGAATGCCAATATGTGCAGAGCTGTGATGGAGGTGGCTATATGACAAATATAGAATATATGAGACTATTGTGTAAAAAGCAGTGGAGGGTGTGCTAAACGACAACGTGCTCAATGATTATAGCTACATAATCAGCTAAAGTTGCCAGCAAATTCCAATTTCTCACATTAAAACACATGTAATATATAACACAACATACAATTAGTTATATTGAAATTCATATTTTACTGTATATGTACATCATGGCAAATGAACAAAAACATGTGTGCTAAATCAGATTAAGAAATTTAATTATGCTTAAAATAAAGATAAAATAGGATCTGTGTTTTCTTTCAAGAAAGCCACTAAGGTCGATAAGGGTCATGTGATCCACTTCATGTAGTAGCCTATGTAGGATTTGAGTTTATCATTCCACCAGCGTCAATCAAAGAGTGAATAAAATCGCTTCAGTGTGCTGATGAATATGCTGACTTTCATGGGACTTTCACTTAAGTAATTTATAACGATAGGCTAGGCCTATATATCTTGGGCTATTGGTTTGTCTCGCGCAAATCTTCCAGTCTCCAAATTTGTTTTATGTTTGTAAAAAAAAAAATGTATGAAGTGATAAACAACAACAGTAGGCTATGTATATACTCGAGCAAACGTCTTTTTGTGGCAGGCGAAAATGAGACATATAGGCTACTTTTTGGTTACTGAAAAGTTGTTTGAAATGCATGTAGAATGAAACTCGTTCAGTGAAACCCCAACAGTTCGTTTTGGCTTTCTTTGGCTCGCTAAAAAAACAACAACAACAAAACACCTTGGCTAGGCCACCCCCCAAAACTCGCTGAGTCATTCCGTGATTATTTGACCTGGGATTCCCTCGCACTCCATGAGTCCCGTAGAGGTGAATGGTGTGATAGTGTCCAGGGAAATCTCCCCGTCGCACTCAAACTGTCCGATGTTGGGCAAGTGCATGTTTTTGTGATTCCGAGACACGTTTGATGTAACCGAATCCTTATCGAACGGGAGACTCGGCTCCTCTCGAGGGTTCGGCATCTGGATGGCCAGCGGCTGCGCTTCCTTCTGAAGTGTTGTGTCGTGGTGATAGGACACCAGCTCGTTACTGAAATTCACCGTCTCAACGTTTGTGCTGGGGAAAATTTTATTGCAACCCAAAATCGAGGAGAACGCCTTCCTGAAGTCCGCGTTAAACGCGTAGATGACGGGATTGAGGGAGGAATTGGCCCATCCAAACCACACGAAGATGGTGAAGGTAGTGTCACTCACGCACTGGCAGAAGGGCACCATGCAGTTGAGTACGAAAAACGGCAGCCAGCAGAACACAAAAACCCCCATAATGATCGAGAGTGTTTTTAAAACTTTGGTCTCTTTCTTGAAGGTGGTTTTCAGCGAGTTCTCGTTAGAACAGTCGTTGGAATGGTGGTGGTTTTGCGCGTGCTCCACTGCCCTCTCCAAAGAGGAGATTCTGCGGATCTGTGTTTGCGCAATACGGAATATCCTCGTGTACGTGGCGATCATGATGATTACGGGGATGTAGAAACTTATCAGCGAAGACGAGATTGCATACGTCCGGTTTAGGTTGGCTTTGCAGTTGTCGCTGTAGTCGGTGCCATTACCCGCTGTGCCCTCCTCACCTTCCTCAGCCATGTGCCAGTTGAGCTGAACCGGGATGAAGGAGATGAGGATGGACAAGGTCCACGCCACCCCGATCATCATGAAAGCCACCCGGTGGGTCATCTTGCGCTCGTATCGGAACGGGCTCGCGATGGCCCAGTAGCGGTCCACGCTGATGATGCACAGGTTGAGGATGGACGCGGTAGAGCACATGATGTCAAAGGCTATCCAAATGCCACAAAACCGGCCGAAGAGCCACGTGCCCGCCACCGCGGATATAGCCTCCCACGGCATCACCAGAACGGCCACGAAGAGATCCGAAACCGCCAGAGAAATAACGAAAAAGTTTGTCACTTTGGAGCGCAGGTGCCTGAATTTGACCACGGCGGCGCACACAAGCGTGTTGCCAAGTAGTGTGGAGATAATAAGGAGGAAGAGCACGAAACCCAGCAGAGCTCGCACGCTGTTCTGCCCGTCTCCATTCTCTTGCTCCTGCGCTCCGTGCGCGCGGTCCTGCGTGTGGTTTGTACCGTTCTCCATCTCTATACATATCCGTTAATATTGCATCTCACCAAAGCTCTTCATAATGGCCAGTTACCTTGTTTTAGGATATTCGTTAGGAATGACCTGTCCGATATCCAGCTCTGTCCCATGTTGGCAAGTTGTGAAACCTGCATCCGTTCCCGGTGATGAGCGCGCGGAATGACCCACATTCATGCGCTGGTGAGTCTCGCTCGAGAAGTTCTCGCTTTGTGATTGGTTTATGTCCACACCGCTGACTCTGTGTGATCCACACAAACATTCATTCCCTCCGAATGACTTGCCAATTAACCTGAAATCTCATTCACGAGGTCTGCAGAAATTACGGACAGAATATCTAAACAATAATACTTTCCAAACGATAAATGACAAATGGTAACAAATGACAATTGAATTATGGTTGTTATTATTATTAAGGATGCAAAGTTCTGCATGCTGTTGAATCATCAAAATTACCTCGGATCGATTCAGTGACATTCTTAATTTAACTTTTGGGAGTCAATTGTAATCGGTTGAAGCGATTTAAAAGGCACAGTGATTGATTGATTGATTGATTGATTGATTGATTGATTGATTGTTTTTGCTAAACATTAGGCTACATAATCAAGGTGATAACTACACATTTAAATTCAAACATTTTATGTAATAAAAATATGCTAAATTAATGTCAATAACTCTCCGAATCATTTTACATATTCTATTCGAAATTATTTGCAGTAGTACAAGATTAGATCCAATAGTTACTTACAAGTTTAAAAGTATGAAAAGCTGCGTATGCTGTCTTGAGAACAGTGTTTGAGTAGAAGCTCGTATGCGTCGAGCTCCATCTCTTGGTTTTGGTTTTAAGTTTCTCATGCAGTCTATTCACAGAGGAACACCTTTTTATTCACCTGTCAAACATGTTACTGGATACTGCAATATTTATTTCTGCAGTTATGGTAGTGTGCAACTGAGAGGCTCCAGTAGGATCGTTTAAAGTCTCTCTCTCTCTCTCTCTCTCTCTCTCTCTCTCTCTCTCTCTCTCTCTCTCTCTCTCTCTCTCTCTCTCTCTCTCTCTCTCTCTCTCTCTCTCTCTCTCTCTCTCTCTCTCTCTCTCTCTCACACACACACACACACACACACAAAACCTGCTTGTGCAATTCTCCACTTTTTGTGTTTGTTCATATGGCACCCAGTGAACACATAATCTGTTTTATACTCTGTTGAAGAGTGTGGTTAATAATTTACTGTCTTCCCTAAACGTGTTCCTTTTCATCCCTTAAACTCTGGAAGAATTGAACACATTAATGTCAATGCAATGGCTAAAACGAATGTATCCTAATGAATATAATCTGGCATTCACGCAGGGCCGGCCCTGACCAATTTGCTGCCCTAGGCAAGATTTTACCTGGTGCCCCATGCATTACAGCCCATTTCACCCCATCATTGTGTTGGTGATTATTTAGTCATATATATATATATATATATATAACAAGAGCATTACATCTAGCATTCAAGTCAAGTCCCCTTTATTTTTATATAGCGCTTTTTAGCCTACAATACAGATTATTTCAAGGCAGCTTTAAAGTGATAACAGGAAAATAATACAACAAAGTTTGCTTCTCCTGTACAGCAGATCTAGAAGAAAATAGTGTCATAATCAAGCTTAAGTGTGTTCAGTGATGGTTTATTTTGTTGTAAAAAAAATATTAATTTATCTAATTTATATATAGCTTGCTCTGGATAAAACAGTGATGTCATCGTCCAAATGTCATTCATGCACAAACTATTCATTGAGCACTAGCAAAAGCGTTTGTTTGGGAGTTGATGGCAGCAATCTTCCACTAAATTATGGCACGGTTCATGTTTTCAACATGAATGAAACTGCGAAATGTCTTCTTTAATGTGAATTTTACATAAAACATAATAAACCTGTAGCCTATAAATATCGTTAATAATTTTGGCAAATAATTTTTTTTAAATGCCATATATTCACCTCAAAACTGCACAACTGTATACCAAAACATTAATTAATAAAAGTGATAGTAACGTTAAATGCGTCTAAAAAAGACTGACATGATTGTTACAAATCGCATTGTCTGGGGGCTCTGAAGAACTCAGAACTACTGTTAGCATAAAGTTATAAGGTAAAAATAACTGCCATTAAATTATAGTATCTTACTACTATGCAATTAGATAAACTGTTCATTCATTACATCACTTTACCTCTGTCTTTATCCCCTTGTAGCCTCTTCTCTTTGGCACTGTATCTATCGCAGGCTATAATTCTAATTTAAATGTCTCATGAAAATTCGGCCATTCGTCACAATGAGGTAACTTTCACCGTGTCTAGACCTGGCGCGAGCTGCCAGGCCCGTTTCTAGTGCTTGAGTGTGTTAAGCGCCCTCAAACGAAAGCAATGCTGTCTACATTGGATGCGGCGAGGCGAGGGGCGACGCTACACAACAAATGACCAACAGTAAACTGATCGCGCGCGCTCTGTTTCTGGCGCACTTCAAGCACTCGCTGGGCGGGGGAAGATTGATGCGCCGGGGGACTTAGTTAAGTTTTTGTGGAGTTGTTTTGCTTTATTTTGTAGTATTTCGAATTAATGGTTTTAAAATAGTATTAGTAAAAAAAATAAAAAAATAAAAAAAATGCACTCGTTCACTCATTTTGGAGCCCCTATTGAGTGGTGGCGCCCTTAGCATTTGCTAAGGGCGCCTATGCCACGGGCCGGCCCTCGATATATACCCAGAAAATAACACCCTGGATTTTAATTTATGAATGCAGCATTGAGACATGAAAGGCCCGAGTCTGCATTCTCTTATATGAATTCAAAGTATGAAATGCATCCTTTTTTTTTGCACAAAAGAAAGCGTACACATGGTCTCTTATGGAATTTAAATAACAATGCACGACTAGTGTCAAATTACATTACTTGAGTAAATTTAGGGGAAATCTTGTAACCTTAAAAAACAAACCTGTTTAAGAAAAGCTGTGGAATACTGGGAATTTATATCAAATTAGTGAAATCCCAAACATGCATTATAATTATTTATAAAAAGATAAAATAGCCTACTGCACATGTTTAGATGTTTTTTTAATCGGTTATTTATGTTACATAGGGGTCGAATAAATCGTGTATTGTGTATTGCCGTCCTCTAGTGGTCATTTTGACTTTGACTTTTTATAGATATATAGCCTAGATAGATAGATAGATAGATAGATAGATAGATAGATAGATAGATAGATAGATAGATAGATAGATAGATAGATAGATAGATAGATAGATAGATAGATAGATAGATGGATGGATGGATGGATGGATGGATGGATGGATGGATGGATGGATGGATGGATGGATGGATGGATGGATGGATGGATGGATGGATGGATGTTCACACATATTCTAATTTGACAGATAATTTGTACACTTATAATTTAATTTGTACATTTAAATTTAAGTTATGTAATGAATATTTTATTATGTTGATGTCTTTATAATTATTCTATGCATATTCCAAGCTTTGGCAATTTTGTTTTATGTAGAATACAGTCATGCCAAAAAGCGATTTTGAATTAGATAGATAGATAGATAGATAGATAGATAGATAGATAGATAGATAGATAGATAGATAGATAGATAGATAGATAGATAGATAGATAGATAGATAGATAGATAGATAGATAGATAGATAGATAGATAGATAGATAGATAGACAGACGATTTTTACGCTGGCTCAAATAAAATCTTTTTGTGTGTTGAATGATGCATTGTAAATGTAGATTGTCCTGCAGTTGCTCCAACTGTCCGGTGGATGTCGCGTTAACTCCTGGAAATCCCACTTCCAACCTTTTGCTTGGGAGAGACACGCCGACACCACATTCAAAATGGCCTCTATCAGCAACTGCGCTGGACGTGGATCAAAATGTGCATAAACAACACCGAACCGGGGCTTTACTTTTTGTCCTTAACGATAAAAGTTTCGGAGGCGCAATGTCATGAATGTACTGGACTGGCAGAATCGGTGGGGTACATAAGATGAGAACTAGTTTTGCAGACAGCCCAGCCGAACCGGGGCGCCGCCGCTGCAGCAGGGCTTCATCTGCCTTTCTGAACCACCGACACCTCCAGTGAGATGGAAAGAGTGGAGGATGCTGATGAGCCAGGACTCGCACCGTCCATCGATGTCAACGACAACCGGGAGGAGTACAAAGCACGCGTTTGCGTTTCAAACCCCGAAAGAGCAGGGCAGGGCTCTGTTTACGGTTCGGCATACGCTAATCCGGGCAGTGTTGGACTGCCGACTATATCCTCGGTGGTGGTGGGGTGCAGGGCCGGAGTATTAAACGGGTTTCCCGAAGAGCTGGAGGTGCATATGGTGTGTCCGGATGGAGAAGAGGGAGGAAACCTGTCCTGCCCGAATGAGCCAGAGTGCGTGGAAAAACCCGACAATGGTTATTTAAATTCCCAGCTGAAGTCTGCAGTGTCATTTATGGGTAAAAGCTCGTCGGATATGAAGATGCCTAATGGAGATGTTACCCATGAACACATGGATCACGGTCAGATTCCTTTAAAGTGTTTGGATTATGCACACGCAGAAGGGTTCAACAGGAAGGTGTCTGCTTTAGACAGAGGTGTGAAAGTGGGCAATGGGGGGTTGTTGATTGTGAACAGTTATGACACCCTGTCTCAAGTCCCCTTTGGTGGCCTTTCTGCTCCAGAAAGCCGTGTCTTTGTTCATCAAAGCGACAGTGTCTCCTCCACTGGGAGGTCATGTGAAAGGATCAGTCGAGCCAGCACCGAAAGCTCGGAGGAGGCCCGGCCCTGTTACCCGGATCCTGCTGACACCCTGTCCGAGCTCAGTGCCAAGCTGTCCTTGTCTCCACTGGCAGAAAACACCAGTGATTACACCGAGACAGACCCGAGCCCAGAGGAGGACTTCAGTGACACGGGCCCCCCGCTCAGGCCTCGGAACCTCCGGACTAACGCCGGTCACACAGTCTCCCTCAGCTGTGATGCCACTCCTCTGAGCCCCGTGGATGATGGGTATTTTGGAGCAGAGGGTGGTGTGGACGAATGTCTCGGCTCTGGCGGTCGGCGGCAGAGTGCTCCAGACAGGGTAGCTGCTGACCCCGATCCCTCATCTGACCAGACGCTTGGCACTAAGAGACACGGCATTGCTGAGTT